TCATCCTACTTTATTCTGCAGAGGCCTGACAGGCTTGTAAGCAGGTCATTTTCCTGGAGTGGGGCCATCTATTATGCATCAGCTGAACATCATGGCCAAGAGTGTGCAGGTGCCCATGAAATATTAATTCACTAAATATATCAATATTTCTTCACAGGAAAATGTGGAAATTGCGGGGTCAAAAAAAAAATTATTTTCCCAACCGGATCAAAATTTTCCTTTAAAGATTCTCGCAAATAGATTTTTCACTCTCTTTTCAAATTCAGAAAATCAAAGCCCTACCAATCTAGTTTGGCATTTCATGGTCAAGACATGTTTTCAGGGTTAGTTGAACTATACAGAAAATATAAGCTGGGAGAGTTTGTTACATCAGTCCTGGAGATCCCCTGACTATACTGGTTTTTGTTCCAACCACATTGTCAATCCCAGAATTTTAAAATTGATTTTTCCTTACAAACCATCCCGAAACAACAGCTTTGGAAAGAAATAGCCATTTCCGCCAACCAAAACTTGTAAATTGTATTTGCATGCATCTAAAGTGAAGTCCTTATGTATTTAGACAAGTACACAAATTTAAGATGCTGGTAAAGGTAGGGATTACTCTGCGTGGATGTAAATATGTGCTTTCACATTAAAGCACACACTGAGGGCTTTGATTTCAGTATCACATCTGCATCGAGTGACATTTCCACCCACCAAATTATTATGGACCTCACTGTAATTAATATGAAAGTTATATAAAGTTGCAGTTTCTCTGAATTGTTAAAACTAAATTTCTGGAAGCTCCCATCATTTTCTCAAAATCCTGAACACAAAATTCTATTCTCCAACGGCATTCCCAAAACTGCTCACTCTTCTTGCAAAATCCAACTATTGCCTAAAAACAGTTTTAACTATGCTCAAAACTAAACACTGTCATCAAAATCTATCTCAATCAGTCAAAATGAACACACTTGTTGAGCAATCAGTATACAGTACACCAGGAAATCGATAATACTGCAATCAAATCCTGTAGTTCCCAGAGTACGTAAAGTAAATGCATTTTGAATAGGAAAAAAAAAAAATTTTTTTTTCCATCAATGTCTATTGATGACCAAGAATATTCTATCTTAGAGGTTTGGATTTCAGCTAAAACAACTAATCTTTGCTTTGAAACTGCAAAAAGCATACTTTTTTCCATTGGTGCATTTTGATGAAAGAGAAGAATACATATTGTATGTTGTTCCATGAAACTAGTTCAGAGTTCAGATAAAATGGCAAATCTTTATCGTGAACACTTCATCAAAAAATGGAGGGCACAATACACAGTTGCACATGACTGCATAGTTTACTGTATTCATTACAGTACAGCACCATACGTGAATGCACTACAATACAGTATGTAAAGAACAAAGCAATACTCAGAATTGATATTTACATACAGTGGAATAAAGTGCCTGTGTTGCACAATCTGGTCAGGTACTGGGGAAAAAAAAAACGGAATATCTATGTTTACTGTATGTAGTACCAAAAGCATATACACTGTATTTCATGAACACACTGCTGTGAAAGAGACCGGTCAAAGGACTGTAAACATTAGGTGTCATCATGCCTTTGGACTAGATTAGGCCACAGCACCTCATCAACATCACATGCTATATTTTCCTTTTCCAAACAATGGGCAAAGAACCTCCTGGAGTGACGTATCCAGCCCTGACACAGCTCCTCACCTATGTCCCCCCACTGGCCAATTCCATGGCCCCTACAAGATCTACTCTTGTGTAGGGTTGGCGGTCATATACTTTCCATCTCCAAGAGGAGAAAAACTCCTCTATGGGGATCAGAAAGGGAGAGTACGGTGGGAGGAAAACATTGAGAAATTGCTCAATGATGTTGAAGCACTCCCGAATTTACACTGCACGATGAAAACTGACATTATCCCAAATAATGACATAAACAGTATTCTCAGTGTGCTCACGCTCAAACAAGTTGTTCTGCAGACCTGCAAGAAATGTCAAAAGGTGCTGAGTGTTGTAAGTTCCCATGGTCACATGGGGATGGACCACACCAAAGTTGCTCATAGCTGCACATATTGTGACATCTCCCCCATGCTGTCCAGGAACCTCAACAATGGCTCAGTGACCAATTTTGTTTCTTCCTCTTCTTCTTCTCCTTGTGAGGTTGAAGCCTGCCTTATCAAGGTAGATGAACTCATGTGGCCTATTCCTGGCTTCTAGTTCAAACATTCTCTGTGGAAATACATTGCATGACAATGAGATTTGCAAATGCTACAGGTATGTGTAATACTGAAGTGTACACATATTATGACATAGACATCAAGCAGTGCAGTACAGTACAGTAAAAGTGTCTGCATGTGCACTTACTTGCACAAAGTGATAGCGCTGCTCCTTCAGCCTCTCTGAGTTCCGCTCAAAAGGTACTCTGTAGACTGTTTTCATGCATACTCTGTTGCATTGGAGGACACAATCTATAGTTGAAATACATTGTTGATACCTTCAAAATTTACATTATCTTCAGTTACTTTCTGGCAAATTTCACGGAGACGTATGATGTTGTTCTGAAGGACCATGTTCACTATGAGTGTCTCTTGTTGCTGAGAGAAGATTTGTTTTCTTCCCCCTGAATGAGGCTGGCTTTCAATTCTGGAAAATGAGGATGTGTTGTTATAAGAAGTGTTCAGTCATGAACTTTGCTCACAGAGCAGTATAAAGTATTGCTGTAATTTACTATATGTACAGTAAACTTTTGATGTCAAAATACAGTATGTAACAGCAGGCCTACTGCACCTGTTTGTCTCTTTGAATCTCCGTAAATCGGCTGAGGTTGGGTTGCACACTCATGCCAGCTTCCCTCATGGTCAATCCATGCACAAGGACATGGTCTATGATTGTTGCACGTATTTCATTAGAAATAACCAATCCTCTGCTTTTTTCTCATCCTGTAGTTAGGAGCAGTGAGCAGCCAGAGAGCAGCGCCCGGGGACCAACTCCAGTTCTAAAGCCAGTTCCTTGGTCAGGGGTAACTGGTAGGAATGTTCCTAAAGAGCATGTTTTTTCTGGATGGGGGAAACTAGAGCAACCAGTGGAAACCCATGCAAACACCACACAAAGACCCCAGTGTAACCAGGTAATAAATTCCATTTTAAAAGTTCAAATCTTGCGGTATTTTTTCCTCTTATCCCGTGGGATGGTCACCTGGGCTAGTTGCCCAATCATCCTTTATTTCGCTGGTGGCGTTATGGGGTCGCGTGGGTCGGCGTGGCCAATTGCGTGCAATTATTAAGCTGCCGTAGTTTAGTCTCGTGATAGCAGTGGGGAAGCTGCAAGAGAGACAAGCTACAGGTCGGTTTAAACTATTTTCGCCGCTTTTTCTGCTTGAATTTTGATCGACGTTAAACGATGTATATGCATTAACTTGTAGGAGCCCTTTGCCGTGCCCGGAATGTGACGGAACGAGTGTTTATAGCGTATACGTGGACTGGTGAGTAATTGTTTGTAGCTGTTAGTGTTAGCTTAGTGACGCCATTCATCCTAATGGACGTGGTTAGCGCTGTATTTACATGCCTGCTTCTCTAAAATGGAAAGCCAAGTGTCCTTCTATGAATGAGTTCAATGAACTAATTTTGTGAATGATCTTTTGTTACTGGTGTAATGGTTTTTAAAGCATTTGTGCTGAGAGCTTAAGCACTTAAGTCAGATGACCTTGATGTTATTTATTTATGTTGATCATGCTTGTTAAATAATATTGTAAATGTTATTTGTGGCTTATGATCAATACGATAATGCTAAATTATGAATATTTTGAAATTTACTATAGTGCAACTAGTGTTATGTGTGAATTGTGTGCGCACTGGATTTTTTTTTATTGATGTACATCGTGATTTATGAGAACTGTGGGCCTGTTCTCCAGGCCAGGTTCTCTTGATGATGATGATGGCGAGCTAACGGAGCAGGCCTAGAGCCTACAGAATGGCAAGATTGCCGAAGAGTCGCACCCCTCATGCCGGGCTGGTAGGGGGCTCTCTGTAGCCCATAACGAACACTCTCCCCACTTGCTTTGCCCATTGCCCATTGCCTGTTGCTAAACCATACATTCCTTTCAATAAGTTTTTTTCCCCTCTAAATGGACTCCATCTCAAATTCAGATGCGGGTTTTTCATGAATTGTGGGTGGGTCGCTGTGGTCGTGATTTGTGTTTTTATTGAAACCCAGGGTTTGTAGAACTCGAACTGGTTGACTTTTGATGTACTTCCCTTTTGGGGTTCATGTACTGTGCATATGTCATATATTGCGCACATTGATTTCTAGATGCGCATGGGTAATTTATTGTGCATATTGTGATTACTAGATGCGCATATGTAATTTATTGTGCATATTGTGATTACTAGATGCGCATATGTAATTTATTGTGCATATTTGATTACTAGATGCGCATATGTAATTTATTGTGCATATTTGATTACTAGATGCGCATGTGTAATTTGGTGTGCATATTTGATTGCTAGATGCGCATGTGTAATTTATTGTGCATATTTGATTGCTAGATGCGCATGTATATTTTGATTGCTAGCATGTATAATTTATTGTGCATATTTGATTACTAGATGCGCATGTGTAATTTATTGTGCATATTTGATTACCAGATGCCTATATGTCATTTATTGTGCACATTTGATTACCAGATGCCTATATGTGATTTATTGTGCGTATTTGATTACTAGACAATTGAACTAATGTTCCTTAAATGGCCATTCTTATTTCCCTGCACATGTTTTGAGCTCTTCACTGTACAAACCTTGCACTTTATTGTATGTCATTTATTATTTTTCTAATATATGGTACCATCTGAAAGCAAATCTCAGTCTTTTGTCCACTCCCTCCTGGAGCGTATCTTAGATCTTCTGATCACTAGCCCATTATAGCGCTTTAACTGTGTTATATTACATAGACATCACTACAGTGGTTTCTAGTCTTTGTATTAAATTAATTTGACACAGTGGCTACACCAGGCCAGATTCAAACCCACAACCTAGTTGCTGTGAGGCAACAGTGCTAACCACTGCGCTACCGTGCCACCCAATCTTCTGGTCATTGTTACACGTGCTCAATTGAGCCTGAAAGGTGCTGGCATCTTAGTTTTCTATCACATTATGGAAAGGCAGTTCAGAGTTTGTCCGCGTCATTATGCATGACTTGCACAGAAGGCGGCTGCAGGTGTTCTTACCACAGATGAACACGTTCAGTGCGCGGGCTGCTCTAAAACCTGCACTGAGGCCCAAGTTCACTGCATTTCTCTGATGGTGAAACCAATCAGGGAAAGGAAGGCACTGCGATACAAACAACTGCTAGGCTAATGCAGCTAATCTGTATTTAGCTCCTGAACTATAAGCACAAAAAATGCAATGTAATGCATTTATCCTAATGCTATCTATTAAATTACTAATGTCACATGAAGACATTTTCTCTGAGTTGGGGATATTGCAATGGCTATTTACAAACTTTTTGTACAAACTCATGCCCTAACTTACAACTTTCTCGCATCCCTTTGTGACTAGCCTGCCCATCTTTTAATGGCTACTAGCAGCAGGGTAACACGCCATGCCAAAAAGCACACATCACCTTGAGCTGGTTCCACAAACATTATCATTAGTTCAGTGTTTTCTAGTTGCCTCCACATTGACCAGATCTCAACCCAAAATTTTTCTGCATGTTCGCAAGGGATTTCTCCATACACGTCTCTCTCATTTCTGTCACTACCTTTTCTATTCTTATCTGTTCTATTTATATCAAAATGTCACACAACTCATTTATTGTGAGGATAACCCGTGAAACTACATTTTTTGGAAGATATATTCTACTGTATTTAAATTATTATGCTGCTGTGCTACAGCCGTTTTCTCAAAGTGAAGGAAATGCCTAAAATAAGAATCTCGCCTGCAGCAGACATTTTAAATACTTTTTCATTGATTTCATATCTGTAAATATAAATAGCATCTGGCAGTAACAAGGCTAATATGAATATGAAATTTAATTATTTCACTTACTCTAAATTTAATCAACTAATCTAGGCCTAAATCAGTGAGACTGAACATCAGTCTGGGAGTCTCCGTGTGCATGCTCAGTTTTACTCACGATTTTATACAGCTGTTAATTTTTCTTAATTTGGTCCTTCTCTTTTTTCTTTTTTTAAAGACTGTGCTCTATTGCAAGTATTTGCAAAAAGGGTGCACATTTTAAACTGATCAAATTAATGATGATGATGAATCTACAGGGTCCTAATTTGCTGACCATGATTTTTTTCCCCCTTTAACATGATGGTGGGTTGGCTTCACATCATTTGCTTCATCTTTTTATTTGTCAATAAGCACTGAATGACTATTTTTATTTGTGACCACATGTCCAAACTGTCACTAATTAGAAGCCAATTGATTCTTTAACTTTAGCGATCACAATTTTGCTCTGTTTAATTTTAATAAAAACATAAACAGTATAGTACAAAAACAATGCAAACTCTTTGGGGCATGCATAGCTAATTCTGACATAATAAGACTTCTTATCTGCTGATGCAGGGTGGCCTATAGCCTATTGGCTGAGAGGTTTGACTGAAACTCGATGTTCCAAGAGCAGCTGCAATAATATTGGTGCTGATGCAGGGCCTTCAAGCCTTAGTACTTAAGTCAAGCCTGCTTCCTCCAATCAAACGCGAGTCACTTAGGACAAGAGCGTCAGCTAAATAACTGTAATATACAAGTATTCCAGTGAAGCTCGGCATTTATGAATCAGAAACCAGCACAAGGTGTGAGATCTTGCAATGACTCCCCCGCACATGAATCAGAGCCGCCAACATGCAGGAGGAAATGCGACATGAAAGCAAAGTGGGAAAATTAATCAGGCGTCAGACAGCAGTTTCAGCAACTGCTACAGTCTTTCAATTAAATGGCAATAAAAAATAAAACTGGTCCAAAGACTGTCAAAAAAAATTTTTCATTACGCTTGCCATTTTCTATGTCACTCAACAATTATTTGCAAGTAATGGCACATTTCTCTCAGTCAACATCATTGAATTCAATGTTCATATTTCTTTTACATTTTAAAACTGCTCAAATGGACATGTGGGACATTTCACAAAGTAGAGGCCTTCTCCACAAAGCAGGATAACTCAGTTAGCTGAATACAATGAGGAAATACCTGTAAACCTCTCAGATCTGGGGCATGGACTGAAGTGAAGAGAGCTGATCTTGGTTTGACTTTGAGCAGTTATCTCGCTTTCTCAGTGATCCAGCTTTGTGGAACAGGCCCTAAGATTACCAAATTAGCTTGGTAACTGCACAGACGAAAAGCAGGAAAATTTATTTTACGTTATTCCATTTTCCAGTTCAGTGGCTCTAGTGTTTCCACACTGCATTTATCCAGCCAACTCTGTTATCCAGCGAACGGCACCATTGATCTGCACAGCAGTGAGTCTTCTATTTCTATTTTCAAACGAGAATAAATCTGCATATTTTGAATGATTTCAGACCTTTAATATTGTCAGAGGCTCAGTTATCACAGTAGGCAGTCTTACACTTGTACACGGATTTCAGACTGATATACACTGGAGTAGAATTATAAAGGCAAAGCTTTGCGATTATTGCACATGACCAACATATTCTAAACATGCGGGTCATTCCATCTAAAAAGTTCCCCTTTCACCCCCTAAGAATCAGCTGATTTTTTTTTTCCAGTAAAATAAATTCAGTATATTTAGTGAAGCTATGCACAATTTTTCCTTTATATTATAAATGTTTTCTGAGTTACAGGCCCTCGAAAAACATGGGGGTGGGTCAAAATTTTTCGCTTTTTAATTAACTTTTTTCCAGCATTTTTGAGCCCTCTTAACTTCATAAGTATTGGCGGTAGTAAAATGAAATTTTTAGTGATGAAAAACACATTTGAGCTCTGTTAAAACTACAAACAAATCAATTTTACATCCACTTCAGGAGTCACAATCGAAGGTAAAAATCTCATTTTGGTTCAGCTTGATTTTCTCTATAATTAACTTTGATTCTATTCTGATTCAGATTCTGATTTATTTCTCAAAGACCACAATTTGTGAAGGTGCGTTCAGGAACCACACGCAAGAGAGGGAAATCCAAAAAAAGTATGCCTTTAATGAGTTCCGGGTCAGTTCCAAAAAACACAAGAATTGCCAAGCCACAAAATGAAATCCAAAAACAGAGTCGACTAGACAGGCCGGGGTCAGAACCAGTAAAACAGATGAGCAAAGGTGCATAGACGGTAGGCAAAAAGTCATAGTCAATAAACAAGGCAGAGGGTCATACACAGGGCATCCAAACACAGGAATCGTGGTCATGCAAAAATAGGTCAAAATCCAGAAAGACAAAACAATACAAAAAAGGGCAACGGCAAGAATCTTGGTCGGACGAAACAGTCGAAGGAAAACAATACTCAATGGCATACGAAAGGCTCTGCACAAAGAAATCTAGATCAACGTTCTGTCAGAACAGCAGTGAGGACTCTTAAATAGACGGGAGGGAAATCACATGCTATGAACAGGTGGGCTGGATCAGACTAATTACAAAGGGAGGAACACATGAGGGAAATCCTAACCACGGACGGGAATCATGCAAACAGCCTATGACATTTAAACAGCCCCGGTCAAGGAGTTCTAAGCGCACAGACAATGAGTGCAGGAAAGCAATTAAGCACGTGCGAGAGATCTCGTAGAAACGCAGAGGGAGATAGGGAAAGCAGAGCAAGAGGCGGAGACTAGAAGAGGGCGATTGCTGAGAGGGAATTAGTACTAATTAGTTAAATCTGTGCAACTTTACAGATTTAACTAGAGTGCTCGTTAGTGAGTTAGTAATATATACATGGATTAGTTGGGTTAGTAGACTATGATACAAAATACAAATGTTAGTCTTGTTACTAATCAGAACAGTAAGGCGAAGGAAGTAAACGAGAATTGAAGGAATAATCTGAAACACCAGAAATCATTGAAATCACCCGAAGCATGTGAGCACACAGACCGGGGAGATGGACTGAACCAACTAGATCACAAGACAGGGGAGACAAGTGCAATGGAACTGAAAATGGACTGAACTAAAACCTGAGAAATACAATAACAAAAAAGAATAAATAAAAGACAAAATCATGAACATAGAACATGAACATAAACATGAATACAAAACCAAAACCATAACACAATTGTGGTGTGGAGTACAAATTACATTATGTCCCAACAACCTAGTGGTAAAGACAAAAAAAAGGGTTAATCAGCAATGGGCATTTTCATTTGAACAATGGAAATACATTACAGAGAAAAGAGCCAAGTTTATACAATAGTTTTTGTTTGTTTGTTTGTAAAGGATCTATTCATTTGACCACAGAAGGGTGTTTTACATAATACTTAGGCAGGAATATTTTTCTATAAGAGAAAATGGTTGGATGTGTACATTCAAAAAGTAAATGGAATTCATCTCCTAAAAGGTCCCCTGTACACAGATTGCAGAACCGCCTGTTTCTCTCTATACCTTTATACCTCCCAATTACCTTTGGTATTCTGTTTTTTGAGAGTCTGAGGTTACAAATAGCTTGCCGGAGCTTCACATTCTCAATGAATAAATATTTTTCAAGCTTTAGGACCTGCTTAAATTCACACTAAAAAATCACATGAAAAATCACATGAACTCATACTTTTTAGCTTTTTTGTAGCTCACAATGCCAACCTTGAAGAAACAAATGCTAAGTTGAACAAGCAATTATACAGCTTTTGTTCAACAAACACTTTAAGCCATTTGATGTTGTCACAACTTTGAATCCATCCAGATATAGGTTAGGCCACATTCATCTAAAAAAAAAAAAAAACAACTGGCCAGACCTAATTAAAAAAAGGTAAAGATAAGTGCCCGACATAGAACTAATGCAACAATGTTGAACAAGCAATTATACATCACTTTGCTAAGCACAAACAAAACCATTTTCTTTACCATTTAGCAGATTCCCCAAAAACCACGGATCATTGTTTTTTCTTGATATCGTTTAAAATGTGAATCAGTGGGTATCGTCCCAAT